ATATTTCGTTCGGTGGTCGTGTGTCAGTGATGAGGAATGGAATTCTGCGAAACTTGTCTGACACAATGAAAGAATAGACTATTCCAAACTTTTACTTGTTGTTAAACAAATGTTTAAACAACTCTATTCAATTAAGTAAACTATTTTATTTCTAAGAATTTAAACTTTAACAAATGATCAACCATAGGCCTAGAAAGACTCAAACCTGTATACAAAGAAAGAAAATATGAATTTGGAGCAATAAGAACATTTGGAGTTTATTAACTTCAAACTCATTTCGTTTAAAGTAAGAATAATATAAAGTGTGTCATTACGAAAAGAATAATGCGGGTGATATGTAGGACTTGTTTTTTGTTTTCTCATCATTTTCGAGACTGTATATAGAAGCTTGTAGTAAATCATTTCCTTCCGTAAGGGTTTATTTCCTTCCGTAAGGATTTATTTCCTTCCGTAAGGGTTTATTTCCTTCCGTAAGGGCTTATTTCCTTCCGTAAGGGTTTGTTTCCTTCCGTAAGAGTTTATTTCCTTCCGTTACATTATTTGCTTCCTATGAAATAAAGTAGGTAGAGAGTAAGTCTTTTAAAAATTAAAAAAATTCTATATGTCGCCTTACAACCCTCGACCTTTAATGAGATTAAAAGAAAAGCGAGGGTGGGAGGAGGTGGGAGGAAAATCGAAACGGTTGTTTAAGAAAATACGTATGCTTCAGCTTAGAACAAACAACGAGCCTGGAAATCCCTCTCTTGACGTTAAGACTAAGTTTGCTGTTTGGTATTGTTTCGCCTCCGAAGACTAATACATTAAAACGATCTCCATTTTTTGTTTCACGCTCTTTCAGACGACTCGTTTCTAAATAGCCTGTAAAGCATAGCGTAGCTCTTACGTGATCGTGTAGTTGATAAATAATTCTTGGTTTTCTTATACTCTTCTCGCTGGAAAATACTAAAATATTATTTACAAAAAAAAAAAAACACGAGAAGAACCTCTCTCTTACATAATGGCTATTAAGACTATTAACCTCTATATAGTAACCGCTGCAGGATCATCTTTCTCAGAGGTCATTCGCTACCAACGCCACTGGTCATCCCACATCTTAAAAAGAGGGATGATATAGGCTCCAGGTTGTGGTCAACCGTTACACCGTTGAACTCAGTACTGAACTACATATTAAACCCTTCATTAATTCCTTCTGTAATAGAGAGAGTCAAATAATATCGAATGGGATTGACCTATGACCCTTCATTGATTCCTTCTGTAATAGAGAGAGTCAAATAATATCGAATGGGATTGACCTATGACAATGTGTAACTAGAGGACTGCCAAGATGTCTGCATAACATAATCATTATCTTTTGTTAAACGTGTACACGCGAGGGCACGCACGTACATGTGAACGTTTCCAAAAAATTACAGATGAACATTTTGGATTATATATTTTAAAAACCTTAACAAAATTCTCAGCGTTTTGTCGTTAAGGAAACTTAAATGATGTCGAAAGTTAACACTACAAAGTTCCACAAGACATTTGATTAAAAATAAGGCCTAACAAATATCATTCCGAAAGGAAGAGTTCTAAAATAAAACTTTTTTTTTACCATGGCTGTTAAGACCTATCTAATTTTGGTCAAGAATACGATCATCGTGAATGAAATTTCCCTATTATCAATCCTTCCTTAATCAATTTGTGACATATTGTGTGCGTTAAACAAATCCAAGATCGGAACCAAAAAC